ATAATATATATATATATATATATAATATATATATATATATATATGTATATAAACACATTGTAAGTATTGTAACCGAGTGCAGCTATCTTTGAGAAAGCTTCTTGGACTACTTTGAATTACTCGCTTTACTCACCTTGTAACATACTACTCCCTTAACTCGCATTGCTGATAAGTACCTGCCATTATACTTACCCCATCATACCTGGGCTAAAACGTCATCTCCTGGATCAGATACGTGTAGTCAATCACGTACATAACACACACACGTATATCAGACGTATATCACACGTATATTCACAGACTGCCCTATGCCCATGACCAATCATATGAGTCCCGCCATCTAGCGACAATTATATTGAAACTTAGATGGTGTGCCTAGCTGCTAGTGCCTAGTCCTCTGGGTTAGCTCGTTGCATGAGAGATCGTGATGCGTGAAAATTACCGGCGAAATTATCTCCCCATTTGCAAAGACGTGTAAAATTGGAGAGAGCTCAATTCAGATTTGTGTCGGCCTTATTTTCTTCGGCTGCTTTGATCCTATAGTAGCGGACGCGCGCATGCGCGTCCTGTGCGTGCAATATTGTGAGGAGCATCCGCGATCACTCAGGCAATTACATAAGACATCAAAGTAAAGCTACTGTCAGCGTCCCTGCGTGGATGAATCTTATGCAGCTCTCTATATGTAGGTCACTCACACCTTGGCTTTCATATGCGCCGGACAAAGAACGTGTTCTGAAATAAATCCGCGCGATTAGAAAAAAAGGGAATGTTTTTGAGAATTTCCTGAAAATGAAAATGCTGATCATGACGACAAGACTATCATTGTGACGTCGGTGGAGCATGCGTCGGTCGCTACACGTTTATCGCCCTTCCATCCGGTATACGTTTTCTAGGAGATAAAGTGCGCATTTAAAGTATCATATATATATATATATATATATATAAGAAAACCATAATCAACAAGGCAATAATAAGCATAAATGTTCTCGGTGTACATGCAATCTCATATAGGTGATAAGTAATTAGTATTTCAGCCTTCTTCTTCTCTTTTCTCTTTAGATCAAAATCCCGTCTTTAATCGATCAAGTTTTTAAATCATGCCTCAGCACTTCTATTACCAATGCTCGCGTTTCCAAGGGGCAGTTTTTTGCGAATTTGAGAACACTGAACTAAGTAAATTAAAACATTGCTAAAATTGTCTTAAATAATAAAATATTACATAATTGAAAATTGTCAGTATATAAACACTGTGCAGTAGCATACCCAGGTTCCGTGCGCAATTTTCCAGGCGATTTCCAGCAACGATGTTATATATCTTGTATTCAGAGGGAATCATATCATATGGCATGCCGCAAGGAGAGAAGCGGGGTTCAGAGATAGACCTCTACGACAAGATCTACGATGGTCACGAAGAGAACCACTATTTATACGGTGGCCTCGGTCAACTCGTCGATGGTCAAAAGGGTCCCGACAACTTTAGACTGGACATTCGTGGTCAGGGGAAAGGTTACGAGTGGGTAGGATGGAGAAATGACACGGGCATTCAAACTCCTATTGAGGTAAGCATTCTCACTCGTTTATCCCAATCACCACAGAATCTATATATCTTAATTGTAATCTGTAAATCTCTAGCCGACAATGAGATGTTGGACATTTTCGTTAATGCTATTCATGAGATGAAATTGTTGTCAATGAGTTAACTGTCAACGCTCATAACTTTCAGATTATCTTCACGTTTGAGAAAGTACGGAACTTCTCGACCGTGGCGATCTATTGCAACAACCTCTTCAGCAAGGATGTTCAGGTGTTTTCCACTGCGAAGGTGTATTTCAGTGTTGGTGGAAAGCAATACCAATCTTCGCCCATCATCTTTAGCTACATGCCAGACACAGGTAATCGTTCAAACCTGCAGAGATAATAAACCGGATATGAGCATGAAGCCTTGTCAGCAGTACTGTGTGCATTTGCTGATGGATGCCTATATGTCTGAATAAGCCCATACCACAGTTTCGTGTATTTGCAAAATAGTAATTATTTATGTGAATATGTGATCAGCATATTAACTGTATAGCCCTACTTGAAACACGTTCTTGATAATATGTGTGAGCTAATGTTGCTTAAAATTCGTTATTTATAACTGATATGAGCCCACGATGTTTGCAACATCTTACTAACAATAAAACAAAAATAACAATACTTTAAGAGGTACTCTTCTCTTTTCCCTGTAACTCTCAGAATCACCCACGCGCGTATGCACGCACGCATGCACATACTCCCACACCCGCACGCGCACAGACACACACACACACGCACACACACACACACG